AGTATTATATTTTTTTTTCACATGTATGTATGTATGTGTACACTTTTAGAGAGAGGACTTAAATTTTAGAATGCCTATCATACTATCTTACAACAACCTTACACATTGATTACGAGTCACATTTAACAGATGATAAAACTGATCCTAATGGGTACAGTGACTTGCTTAAAGTTAAAAACTAGCCTATAGCAGAGCTGGGACTGAAATCTAGGTCTTATTCAAAAGCCCAGACTCTTTCACCCCCACATGCTGTTTCCTACAATTTCTAATTTCTAAGAACCACAGGGTTGGGATTAAAAATAAGAAATTATATATTTTATTCATTCCTGATTCTAAAAAAGAACTCATGTATTACCTGATTTGGAATAGACAGTAGCCATCCCTATCGCAGGAGAATATTATGTAAAGCTCACTTGATATTTTTGCACATTATGACATTAATAAAAATTTTCACAAATGTCTAAACTAGATCTTTATTTTAGTAAAAATACAAATTATCTCTTAAATACTTCCTGTTAAGCATCATCACCCAACAACCCTTCATACCTGGAAAACCATCATAAAATTGCCCTTTAGTCTCTTGTTCAGAAAAACAAAACACATATAAACCTAAGTAGAAATGATGGTATGTACACCCATGTCTGTCTGTATATATACATGTATGTATATATGAATGAATGAATGAAATGATATATTTTTATTGACATAAAATCCTTCTCCATAAAATATACATATCTGTTTTACTCAGTCATGCAGCTATATGGATACTATATCAAAAGAAGTATTTCACGAAGCACCACAGGTTTCTCAGTTTCTTCCAATTTATGACATTTAATATATACCAAAGCCGCCAGAACCTTGAGAGTGTTTGTAGTTCACAAACTCAGTTTATAGAGCTTCCAGAATGTACAAAGTTGCTGATAAAGAAAATATCCTTAAAGGGGAACTCCTGCTTTACTCTAATTATGGAATGGTAGAGTAGAGGATCCGAAACTTGAAGGAAATTAAGTCAAATAATCAAGACAATAGATGGCATACAAATTTGGGGAAACATATAAAATGTGACCCATAACACTCAGTTCTACAAGAGTTTCATATATCACCTTATCTTGGACACACAATCAACAGTGAAATATGCATGGAACTGAGAAAAAGCCTATGGATAACTAACTTAGTTCCAAAGCTGCCTCATTTACATAACTTATGAATTTGGTAAACTTACCCTGAGATCCATTTTGTTCCATGGCTGTTTTTGTATATTAACACTGTATATTTTTGATTTCCTTACAGCCCGCACATAAGCTTCATGTCCTTGCCTAAAATAGATAAGCTAAAACAGAACATATAAGGTATTAAACAGCAGCATCCTATTTAACAACTTTATATTCCTGATATACATCCTTAAAAACATTCTCTTCTGTTTGCAGAAAACAAATAATTACAATTATTGGGTTTTTTAATTTCAAAATATTAAGGGGGTATAAATGTTTTAGGTTACATGGATAGCTTTTGTAATGCATGAATCCCAGCTGTAGGTGTGCCCATCACCCAAATAGTGTTCACTGTACCAATTAGGTGGGTTTTTGCTCTCCGCATCTCCCCTTTTCCCCACTCCCTCCTGGTTGATTTCCACTGAGTTCTACTCCCTCTGTGCACATGTATGCTCATTGGTTAGTTTCAATTTAACAGTGAGTACATGTGGTGTTTGTTTTTCCATTCTTGAGATACTTGAAAAACTTTGTAAAATAAAGGTACTTTTCCCTATCAAATAATATTCATTCGGTGCTTGTAACTATGTAGCTCTGTGCTAACTAGCACATTACATGAACACTGCAAATGCAGTCCTTTTTCCCAAACAGCTTCATAAATCTTCTGAAGAAACAGACTCCTGACAAACATATACAAAGCTGGTCATATTTTAAAGTACAGTTGACAATCCACCGCCATGGTTCCATATCTGTGGATTCAACCAACCTTGGATCAAAGTTATTTGGGGAAAAATAATAAAAAATAACAATACAACCATAAAAATGATAGAAATATAAAACAATACAATAAAACAACTATATAGCATTTACATTGTATTAGAAATTATAAGTAATCTAGAAATCATTTAAAGTAGACAAGAGGATGTGCATAGATACAAATACTACATCATTTTATATAAGGGTCTTGAGTATCTGTGGACTTTCGTATCTGAGGGGTTTCCTAGAACTAATCCCACATGGATAGTGAAGAATGACTGTACTATATTTCAAATTGTAATTGACATTCTAAATATCAACATTTTAATACTCAGCCTACACATTTTATATAAATAGTACAAATCACGGGCTACTAAATTGAGTAATTTCAGAACAAAAGTAAGACATGTAAGAATTCATGTCAGAACTGGCATAGTATGGGAGGAAAATGAATTCAAGTAAGATTCTTCGGCTCTTTAAGACAGCATTTACTA